AATGTGGAAAGTTGGAGCTGCAAAGAGCTCTGGGTGAGGAATAACCTGATTCTGCCACTGTCCTGCTTGGAGATTCTTGGCAAGTCCCTACGCCCTCTGGGCCTCAGGTTCCTCATCTGTATGATGTGGGGATTGAGCTGGGTCCTCTCAGCAGGCCCTCCTGACTCTGTGATCTCAGAAGCAGTCTTCCCTCCCTCAGGTCCTTCTAGGAGCCAGTGCTAGGGTGGGGTGCATACTCCTGCTATTCTACTGGGTCTGCCTGCCTGCCAGCCTATGCACCCATCATACTTTGTCTCCTGGGGGTGGTGATGTTTGGGTAGTATTTTTCTCCTCCCTTTTCTGTTTATTTAGATGTGCTTTTTGGCATTTGGACAAAGCCCCAGAAAAAAAGGCATTGAGAGACATGCTTGTCAAAACAGCCTCCCTCCTTGAAGGCGCTCTGTTTGGAAATGGGCCTTTGAGATAGCCACGGGAGGGGAAGGTGGGTCTGGGCCTACGGAGGGCCCATGGGGTTCTGAACACTGTCTTGGGGGGTCCCAGGGTGGGCAATCAAGGGCTCAGAGGGAGTCAGAGGCATGTCAGCCTGTTCATTGTCTGTTGACAGTTCTTTAAAAGAGAAGCAAATAAGGAAAACCTGGATGAAAGATGCAGGACCAAACTGATGATGGGGCTGGGGAAGGAACGCATTCTTAACTGAGCATCTACTATGTGCCAGGCATGCACTAAGATGAGAAACAGTGGCTCAGAGGCTCCTAGATGGTGATGCTGGAGCACAAACTCATGGCCCCCTCTGTGCTGCCTCTTGGGAATGAGGTCCAGATGAGCTGGGACTGGGTCAGGCTTCCCCTCCCTACACCTATGGGTCCTCTCACCTGGGAGCCCTGGTTTGGGGAGAGTGTTTTTTCCCTTTTTCTTCTCCCCAGTTTGGCCATTGGTCCCTGAGGCAGCATAGTGTACAGGCCAAGTGTGGGGAGGATGGGATGAGCTGTCAGTTCTTGTTTTGACCTTTGATGTGTGTGTGTGTGTGTGTGTGTGTGTGTGTGTGTGTAGAGGTTCCTGCCTGCCTCCCCCACCCCCACCCCCCAACCTCAACAGTCAAAACTCCCCTGGTTGTAGCTCAATCATCTAACACTTCTGCCACAATGGCTTACTTCTCTGAGCCTCTACTTCCCCATCTGAAAACTCAAAGCACTCTGAATTCTGAAGCACATATCCTCCCAAGGATTCCAAATAAAGCGGCTTAGGACTGAAGGCTTGGGAGCAACTCAGTGAGCTACCAGGGATACAGAGGACTTGGCAGAGCAGCAGCTCAGTAACTGGCAATTTATCATCATCTTCTTCAGAACTGATTATAGTGGGTGTTATAAAGAAGTCACGTGTCAAATTCTGAAAGGTTCCTGAGAGTCTCTCAGGACACCCTGGAGTCGGAGCAGGGTGTGGGTCAGATGTAAGGATTGGCAAGATGGCAGCTGGGACAGGGGATCGGGGTTGATGACCCTGGTCCTCTTCTTGACTGCCCTGAGTTTGGGCAGTGACCTGGAAGGGAACCTGAGGGCCAGCAGATCAACTGGGAGGGAGGTCACAAAAAGGGGTAGAGCCGTTCACATCCAACTACCCAGAAACAGCCCTTAGTTGACCGAAGCATGGTGGCACAGCTGCTGTGCAAGCACACAGCAGCATGGCCTGTGTTAGTAGAGGCAAGTGCCCAATCTCGAAGGGGACAGTCTCCATCCCCATGGACTGGGCAGGCTGTGCACTGAGCTTTAGTCATCAGTCCCTGTTGCAGAGAATGAAAGTGGAGGCTTCCAGCAGAGCCCTGCCTGCACCATGCACTTTCTACTTGGGAGTCTCTGTGAGGCTGCGTTTGCTTGTTGCTGAGTTCAGAACGATACAACTGAATGACATTCCGTGGCTCCAGGCTCACTTTGTGAGCATATTCACGCAGTCACTAGTTAATCTTAGTTACCTAGTGCTGCTATATTAGAAATACCATAAGTGAATGGCTTTAACAAACAGAAATTTATTTTCTCACGGTTTAGGCTGCTATAAGTCTAAATTCAAGGCATCATGTCTAGGGGAAGGTTTTCTGTCTGTCAGCTTTCTGAGAAAGTCCTTGCCTTCTTCAGCTTCTGTTTCTTGGTTCCTTGGAGATCTCCATATGGCTTGTCATCTAGCTTCCTTCCATCCCTGTGAGTTTATTCTGCTTCTTTTATATTTTATGAGAGATTGAAGACTTGCCCTATACTAACCCCATCTCATTAAAATAACAAAGACAGCCAGACAGCCGGCCATACCCCGAATGGGATTAGGACCACAGGTTTCTAGGTTAGTATTTATAACACATACTTTTAGGGGACACAGTTCAATCCATGACGCTAGTCACTAAACAAGCCACTTCTCTGACGTGATTGTTGTTGTTGTTAGGTGCCATCAAGTTGGTACCGACCCATAGTGACCTTAGGCTTATGCACAGCAGAACAAAACACTGCCCGATCCTGGGCCAGCCTCACTACTGTTGCCACTCTTGAGTCCATCGATGCTGCCACTTGGTCAGTCCATCTCCTTGGGGGTCTTCCTCTTTTTCTCTGACCCTCTACCTTACCAAACATGATATCCTTCTCCAGTGACTGGTCCCTCCTGACAATAGGTCTGAAGTATGAGAGACGAAGTTTGGCCATCTTGGCCTCCAAGGAGCACTCTGGCTGCACTTCTTCCAAAACAGATCTATTGGTCCTTCTGCCAGCCCATGGCACTTTCAACATTATCCTCCAACACCATAACTCAAAAACATCAATTCTTCTACGGTCTTCCGAAACAAGTTGGGCTGGTAGCCCCAAGGTCAGCAGTTTGAATCTACCAGCCGCTCTGCTCCGTACAAGAAAGATAAGGCTTTCTGCTCCTGTAAATATTTACAGCCTCAGAAACTCTATACAGGGTCACTGTGAGTTGGAACTGATTCCACAGCACACAACGTCTACCACCACCAGAAATTACGGCTTAAGGAGGAGGAGAGCGTGATTATCGGAACTATGCCTAACCCTTACAGATAAGCTGGACTCAACATATGTTACTGCAAACTGAATGCTTTAAACAATTCCGTACATTTATGTGGCAATTAGATGTGAAAATAACATCTGGTTTTTGTTGAGTGCTTACTGTATGCCACGTGGTGTACCAAGAGTTTTATCTGCATCATCCTATTTCATGCTCACTGAACGCCCAGCCCATTTCACAGAGGGCTGAGAGACCTGGCCTGTCACCTCCTGGCTAGGGATTTGAGCCCCAGTGTGCTTGCTTCCAGCTCCCAGTCGTCAGTCACTGGACTGTCAGCAGGCTCCACAGCAGCCCCGAAAAATGGGCAACAAGAACCCCATTGTACTGAAGGAATGGACATGACTTGCCCACTGCTCCTCACATAAAGGTTGATTTCGGTCTAGACCAAGATATTCTAACTTGAAGGCTTGTCTGCCTTCTTGAATTTGGTGATAAAGGGACAGAAAAAGCCTTGTCTCGCTTCATCCACAGCTGGATGAGGAACCTATCCCCATGAAAGAGACCAGTAAAGAGGCTATGAAACTGGACAGATCATGAGGTTGGAGCCGAGTCCTTCATTAACCTTGCTGTATGACTTCAGACAGTCTCTTCCCCTCTTTGGGCCCCCACTACTCTATAACACAACCTCTTGAAACTGAGCCTCAGCCAGCTGTGGTATTCTGAGATGCTGGGGATTTGTTAGCAGCAACAGGGAAAACAAACTAATATCTCATTCACTTGTATCTGTTTTATCACCTGGAATTGAGGCTTGCGTGAGTGATTCCCCAGAACCCTTCTTAGACAACTCTTTCTCACTCAAGGAGCTCCCTTCCCTTAGTTTTCTTCTTACTAAGCGGTTTGTAAGTAGAACCCAGTAACTATCCCATCTCCTATAAAGGGAGCCTTGGTTCGACCTTCATATATTGAGCTCTTTTGGGGAGAAGAAAAGCGTTAAGCTCACTCAAGGTCCAGCACAGACTGGATAATGTCATGAATGGTTTGCCTGTGATCTCTTATACTCATCCTTACAGCTGATCCGGAGCCGCTTTCCAGGGCCCCCGCCAGCAATGGGGCATGAATGGGGCCAGGCAGTAGCTCCTCCAAAGAAGGCCCTGGCTCCAAATCAGACCTGGTTCCAAATCTTGAGCATGCAATGGGGATACTCAACAAATCCTTCATTCCCCTGGGCCTTTTCCTAAACAAGGCTCAAGGGACTCTGTCCCCAAGGTGGATACCCCGCTGACATACAGCGGTTCTGAGCCTGCACTAGCTGAAGGAAAGGAACCCAGGTGGCCATGGTGTCCTCCAGGCGTTGTACAGCTGGAACCTCACTCAGTACGATGCTCTGACTCAGGGCCTTAGTTTCCCTAGCTGTATCATCCGGGCTGAGAGCGCCCACCTCACCAGTGAGGAAAGGCGCTTTATCAATTGCAAATGGGGTGGGGGGCGTGGATTCTTCGAGATGGGTGGGAGTGTGTGATCTCGATGGGGGGGTGCGAGGCTGCTGCGAGGGGTAGGGCGGCCCACGGCCCAAGCCTCGGGGGAGGGGGAATCCCCGCTGGGTCCTTTCGTTCCCCAGACCCCCTCCCATCCACTTGTCCGGGGGTCTCGGGCGGCCTCGGCGGAGGTCGGTGCTGCTCGGCTCGGCTCGGTGTCGCCATAGCAACAGCGGCTTAGGGGGCGGGAGCGACGTGGCGGGCTGGGCCGGGCGGGCGGACTGCGCGGGGTGGGTTGGGCCGCGCTGCGCGGG